TATAGCAGCATTATTCACAACAGCCAAAAGGTGGAAGCAACATAAATATCCATCAACGAATGGATAAACAAAATGTGGTATATTCATACAAGGGAATATTTTTCAGCCTCAAAAAGATACCTTGACACATGCTACAGCTAACCACCTTGAGGACATTATGCTAAGTGAAATAAACCAGTCACAAAAAGGCAAATAATTCATGACTATACTTATATGAGATACCTACAGGAGTCAAATTCACAGATAGTAGAATGGTGGTTGCTAGGGGCTATGGGAAGGGAAATGGAGAATTATTTTTTAATGGGTACAGAGTTTAAGTTCTGCAAGATAAAAAGAGTTCTGGAGACTGTACAACAAAGTGAATGTATCTGAAGATTTTTTTTTAAATGTTTATTTTTGAGAGAGAGAGAGAGAGAGCGAGCGCATACGCACCTGCACATGCATGTAGTGGGGAGGGGCAGAGAGAAAGGGAGACTGAGGATCCAAAGCGGGCTCTGCGCTGACAGCAGAAAGCCCGATGCGGGGCTGGAACTGACGAGCCCTGAGATCATGATCTGAGCTGAAGTCGGAAGCTGAACCGACTGAGCCACCCAGGTGCCCCACGATGTGAATGTATGTAACACTACTACTAACTTGTACACTTAAAAATGATTAGGATGGTAAATTTTATGTGAAGTGTATTTTGCCACAATAATAAACAAAGAGATAAATACCAAGTCAGCACACTGAACAATGTGACACGCCTCCTTTCCCTAGCTGAGCTTTCAGATGAGCTACCAACCACAATTATATATGCCATGGCAAGAGACTAGATGCAAAATTCCTCTCTAGAAAACAGAATAATGTCTAAAAGCTCCATTTGGTTCTTTTACACGTTGTGCCAAGCCCTTCTGGATAGCATCTTATTTTTGTTGTTCCCACTTTTTAAAAACTCTTAATAATGTTTATTTTATATTTTGTTAAGCTTTTATTTAAATTCCAGTTAACATACAGCGTTAATATAAGTTTCAGATGCGCAATATAGTTGATTCAACACTTCCATAGAACGCCTAGTGCTCATCACACATGTTTAAGTTATTTTTTTTTTTCAACGTTTTTTATTTATTTTTGGGACAGAGAGAGACAGAGCATGAACGGGGGAGGGGCAGAGAGAGAGGGAGACACAGAATCGGAAACAGGTTCCAGGCTCTGAGCCATCAGCCCAGAGCCCGACGCGGGGCTCGAACTCACGGACCGCGAGATCGTGACCTGGCTGAAGTCGGACGCTTAACTGACTGCGCCACCCAGGCGCCCCTAAGTTATTTTTAACAAACGTATTTTCTAACACTTCCACTCTTTACGGTCTTACAAATACTGACATAGGGTGCCCCCAACAAAATATAACCGATTCCTTCCTGCCTGATCACCCAACACTGAAACCCACCAAAGGGGCTCTACTCATGTATGAACATCTTCCAGTCAGCTTTTAGTGTCTCACTTGGAAATGTAAGCAGGTTAACCACCTCCGGACATTTGAGAATGTGTAAAATTAGAAATCAAAAACACGCAGAAAAAGGAACAAAGTAGCGGCAATGCAGTGAGCAAAACAAAACAAAAACTTCACAAAAATACTATGATCAACATGCCCAGCAACAGCAAATGCTTTGTCCAGGGAGACTTTAAAAAGACATTCAGAGAGTAAGATAGTGTTTATAATAAACACATGGTAAGAGAAAGGTAAAAGAACAAATGGAGAAAATCTCACAGAAAAGAAAGAAAAAACAGTGAAAAGGAAAACAAGAGACAACAGAGAACAGAAAACAAGAGGGATAAAATTTGTCAAATAAATGAGAACACTTTCCTGATTATGAAGGACTTGAGTTTCTAGCCTGAGTGCCCAATACAATGCACAGAACTCTATCACAATAAAGCATGCCTTTAAAATTCTAAGAGAATCATTTGTAACTTAGAATTACAAACCCAGCTAAATGATATGTAAAGAGAAAGCAATGTATTTCCAAGAAATGACAGAAAATTTCTTCTCGTGTACTCTGCTTTCAAGAAGGTATACCTGTTTTTGGAAGGATGGATGGGCTCCGCCACTACCAGGAACAAAAATAGCAAGTATTTACGGAGTGCTTACTATATGCACAGGCCTTTTATATGTATTTACTCCTTTACTGTTTAAAACCACCCTTTGAAGTGGATAAATTATGCCCATCCTTCAGACTGGAAACTCAGGCGTAGAGAGCAAGTAACTTCCCAAGGTTACACATCCAGGTGTCAGGATTGAACCCAGGCAAGTGGGCTCCAGGGCCCATGCTCTCAGTCACTGACCTGTTGTCCCTGCCAAGGGAGTAAACCCTGAAAGAGGAATATGTGGAATGGGAACCCAACAAAAAGGGGAAGGAAATTTCCAGAAAAATGATAAAGGGAAGTCCCCAAAACACAAGTGAGCCAACAAAACTGACAAAATATTGGGTGTGCTTGAACACATCTGGAAAAGATTTTCTAGGTCTGTGAAAGTTTGGATGAAAGAGTGATCAGTACAGACCAAATCTAAGCAAACAAAATACAATTATTAACTTCAGAAAAACAAAAAGCTGTACAGCAAAGGAAATGCAATCATAGTTCTGTTTGGCTCACTTGTGAATTGTGGTAAGAGTGATAAATCAGACAGTTATTCAACAAAAAAGAGAGATACATGCATTGGAAGGATGGGAAGAGGTGAAGAGTGTGCACATGTCAGTTAACTCCATAGCAGACTACTGGAAAATAACAAAATGGTACCCGCATTTTTACTTAGAAATATGGAAGCAAAAAGCAACAATTTAAGTGTTTTCGTCACTCTGCAGTCCATTCTAAGATCTCTCACCCTCCAAAATTAAAAAAAAAAAAAATTGTATAATTATGGTTCACCTCTGTGCCTTAGGTTCTACGATTTTGACAAATGCATAAACTCATTAATTCCGAGACTCCCCTAATGAAACATTTGAGAGCTATATGCAAACAATGAGCAGGACTATATTCCAATGAAACTTTATGGAAACTGAAATGTCTACGTCACATAATTTTTCTGTCACAAAATATTCTTTGATTTTTTTCCAACTGTTTAAGGATCATTCTTAGCTTGTGGGTCACACAAAAACAGGTGGCAGGCTGGATTTGGCCCATGAGCTGTAGTTTGCCAATTCCCGTCCTAAAGCAAGAAGATGGGTGGAGATACAGTCCAGAAGCTGCAGATGGGAGACTTCTGTCAATGGGGTTCAAAACAGCCCATATTACCCACAAAAGAAAGATTTAGCACAGGGACAGCTGTTTCACCCAGACAGCCAACTAACAACACTACCGGTCTCTTAACCCTGTTTTGACCTTTGTCTTTGCTCCCTTTATCACCTCAATCTTAAAGAGCCTGAGACATTGCAGGGGCCAGGGAAGGAAAAGAGAATCCAAGTGTAGAAATAGGACCCAACCAGTTCACTCCCTTTCCCCTCTACACGATTCTGGTCCAGAATGTGGCCCAATCTGGGAAGGGGAAGGGCCAGGCATCAAACTGAATAAGAGATTTTAAATTAGATGAGGTCACACTTTACAATACCTGAGGCTAACTGGAGTGTGTTATCTGCCCAGATCCACTCGGGATTGGAAAAGAACCATTAGCAAGTAATATTTAAAGCCAGACGTAAGAAGAATAAAGTTTTCTCCATATTCAAACTACTAAATACTATCTCATTCAATAAGCCAGTTATGTAACCAAAGGACCTTTATTCAGTATGGGTAAAGAATGCTTATAGATCAATAAAAATTTCTCTAAAAGAGAACAGAAAAATGGACAAAGGATACGAACAGGTTATTTTTTGTAATGTTTCCTTCATTTTTGAGAGAGAGAGAGAGAGAGAGAG